AAAGAAGCGGCTTTAGGTGACGTTGACAAGCCGGACACAGCGGCATCGCTGTGAAAGCCTTTTGAAAAGTTCATCCGATCATAGGCCGCCTCAACAGCACTGTCCAACGATCGCAAGACAGACCCCCTCGCTAATGAAGAAAATGACGACGATGATGATGCCAACAAGGACGACGACTTACCCTCACGCTCGTGCAGCGGCTTATCTGCGGTGGCCTCCAAAATGGCAATCTTCCTCAGTTCCCGTAGAGCACGCACGGAGCCACCACGCTTAAGGTGACGCCTACGCAGGATGCTTCCAGACCATCCCCGCCAAAACATCACATGCACACACAGACAATGAAGGCTCCCACTCCCTGCCGCTTTCTTCTTGTCTACATAATTCCACCCATCCCCATCAAGTGGAAGGGATAAAAAAGGTGTGACTCAAAAGGAAGCAAAGTAATGATAATTTTTATTTTTTTTTTTTATGTAAAAAATAAATTAAAAAAATGGCTTCACAAACTATCATTTCAAAAATTTCATCGCTCACACATACAGAGAGAGAAAGAGAAAAAAAAAAAAAAAAAGGGATGGAAGAAAAAGAAATATTTACAGAGGGACCAACAAATACGGGGCACGCCGCACCGCCTCTCAGCTCCCGTCCTCAGTGCCATCACAGCAACGAACGCCAATGAATGATGCTGCCTTTAGACAAAAGTGCATCATCTCGTGAGATACGTAGTTTACTAAGCTCCGCCAAAGACAGCTGTGAGACCAATGAACCGCCCAAGAGGGATAACATCCATGGAGAGTCCTCCAGCGGCAAAGGTTGAAGTTGAAAAGAAACGCCAGCCTCAAAAGAAGAAGATTCAGAAGAATTACTCCCGTTAGTCGTAGAAGAAGAAGATGTTTCAAAGGATTCCGATGAAAAAGATGATGATGAAGATGAGGTGCCCGTTGCTGCGGTTTTGCCGCTGCACTCACGCACAGCCTCCTCAAGGAATTTTCGAAGTAGTGGCGCAACGCGTAGCGCTTCTCCCGTCACAATCACAGGCAAAGACGTATCACCCGCGACGGCAGCAATGAGACGTCGCAATGCACCCCCGCCTTCGTCCTGAGGATAGCCGTTCGCTCTTTTGTCAGTTGACTGCACATCCTCCTGGCCGTCGTTACGCCTGCGCTTCGTCCCCACTTCCCCATGTTCATGCAGTGACACAACGCGTTGGTACACCTCCCCTCCAAAGAACGCGACAAGCGCTTTGCGATACGTCTCATCCAATAAATTCACAGCCGCCGCAAAGAAAGAAGAGCCATTTACCGACAGACGCGACAGAAGAGATGATACGTCATTCCCATCTCCCTTTTCTGCGGAAGCTCCGTCTTCCTTCCAATTGTCTCCCTCCTTTGTATCGTCAAAAGCACCTGCATTCTTTTTTGCAAAGTTCTCCTCACCACATAATTCCCCAGTCCCCGTCGTGTGGGGCTTCAAAAGGTGAAGCAGTGACCCGGAAGCAGACGCCGCATACTTCACCGAGACGCCGGACTCCACGCGACTGACAGAAAGCGCCCTGAGAGACGCGTGAAAGACAAGTGAGTCCCGCAGTCCCACCGCAAACGTGTCCGCCACGACGTCTGACAGCGCTATGATTGTTCGCACCCCCAGTTTCTCAAACAGAAACATCAAAAGCCTTTCTCGGTATTCGGAGGAGGCCTGTATAGGGAAAATAACGACTATATTCCGGTTCAACACGTGATCTCGAAGCCTGGAGACAAGCTGCAGCGCCGCCTTCTGCTTGGATGAAGCAACTGTTTCAGGCAATGATGAGGACGATGCGGGGGTATACCCCAACAGTTCTGCAGGTATCGGGCCGTCCTCAAAGAAAGGGTGAGTCTCGCCTGAGCGGCACAAGTACGTTGCCAAATCCCTCACTATTAAAACGATGAATCTCGCATCGGTATCACTGACGGCGGTAGTGCGCTGCAAAGAGAGAGAACTGTTGCCAGTGGAGTTGAGCATTCCACTCACAGAGTGCAATGAAACGCGTGTTACGCCCCTCGCTCTTCAAATCCCTTTTTTATTTTCTGTTTGATTGTTTGATTGTTTCCCCTCCCACTCCCTCTCTTCTGCTTTCCTGCCTGCATGCCAACAAGAGGAATGAATGCAAAATAACAAACAATCGCGGTAAAATCAGCGGAATAAAGAAATACATTTAAAAAAGCGGCACGCCGCAGCGTGTCGCTGGTGTAAGTGGCGCAGCAAACACCCTTCAGGGTCAAATGAGCTGCCCAGTCCATGCAACACTAAGAGAAAAAATTCGGCCAAGTCGCGGAAAAAAAAAAACACAAACAAATAAATAAACAAAAAAAGACGCATATACAAGAAACCAGATAATGTATTCATCCGTTAATTTAATTTTATTTGTGTTTATTCCGGATTCCTCCTCAAACAGCACCAAAATGTAGCTCTCACCGAAGTATGCTTACGAAAAATAATAATAATCACTTCTACAACACATCCTATATCCCAAGCATCTCAAAAGGAAAGCAGGAAGTTTTTTTTATCACCATCGTTCAAATTCACTTGATTTTTTTCTTTTCCATGGCTGCCGCTGCAGTCCGCTTCCTCCGCAAATTCGCCGCGCGCCTGGTTTCGAAATATGCCATAACAGCACGCATTATGAAGGTTGTGATGGCAAATACCCATATACCACGGTTCTGCCACCACGCCTTTTGGCTCCTGTCCGGACGTGAGAGCAATGTGTTGTCAGGGGGGACGTAGCCGTAGACCCAACTGCGATCCGTCGTATTGTCTTCGGTACGGAGCTGCAAATTAAGAGAGAATTCGTGTTCTGAGAAGAAGCGGAACGTGAAACTGCCGGATCGTCCTCCCTCCAACTCGACGATCCCCGTCGCTGTGCGTGCCATCGAAGGAACATCACTGAGTGTGGAAGGTGACATGCTCTTCGACTCGGAAACAAATAAGAAGGATGCCTGGGCTGTCGGAGCTGCGTCAGTTTCCTCCACTTCAGAGAGGCCCCGCTCAAGAACTCCCACGACAGCTGGCAGAGCCCAAGCAGTGACAGTCCCACTGGTTGAGCCCGAAAACCGCAGCTGAACATCAATCCTCAGCAGAGATGGGTGTGCATCCACCATTCCAGGCGTCGGCATCTCCCCTTCCATCGGGCGCGGGTAGTTGAAATGCTCCAGCGACAATTGCTCCGCACTTCCCCTGCGCTGCTCACCAATGGGGATTAACTCCCCGTGTATGTGTTCAGGAAAGATCGGTGAGGCCCTTAGGGCGAGGGTTGCGTTAAACACCCCATACCTCCCGGATATAACACTAACTGTAAAGGGCTGTACGATAATCTGCTCAAACAGCGGCATGTTCGATGCCGTACTCAACCCGTCATCCCCCGCCAGTACTAAAGAAGCCAAAAAAACAGATACTACGGCGCAGTAAAGCAGTACAACAGCAGTACATCGGCCGTGGCCCATTTAGTGACACACGCTACGTTCCCCGTGGCCGCGGTCCCCTGTTATTTGCCGTCGCTTAAACTGCCCTGGACGCGTAAAAAAAACAAACAAAAAAAGAAGCAATTAAGTAAAAAAAAAAAGGCACACACACACACACACACGCACGCACATGAGACAAAACGACGCTTGGTTGAGTGTGGCAGAAAGAATCAGGCGTATTCCATGCTAGCGACGGTGGAGAACAGAGGGAGGGAGTGCGAGTGAGTGAGTGAGCAAACGGAAGAACATCGGCTTTCTGATAATGAGCACGCACAAAAAAAAAAAACCAAGCGACAATTATCCACCTCATTACCAGAAGCATCGCCAGCCAAAACGCAAATGCCAATATAACGAAAGATCAACCACACACCCACTTAATTCTTCCATCATTTGCGGAGCCTGTGAGAAAACATCAAAGCGTTTTCAACCCCATGCCCCTGGAGAAGGTATCCAGAAACAGTAATTAGTAGCAGCAACAGCAATGAACAGGGTCATAGATTGGCAATTATGAGAAGGTAGTGGGAAGGTGTTTATAAATGTGTGGAAAAAATGGCAAAAAAAAAAACCACCAGACGTCAGTCTACATGTCCTAATGCACCGCTCACTTCCTACAGTGGATAAGCATCAAAAGATTTTTTAAAAAAAGGGTCAAAAATTCCTGCCTTGTCACTTTTTTTTGTTGTTGTTTTGTTTTTTTTAGTTCGTTGTGAATGAAAGGTCAAAGTGGGGACCAGGGCAACATAAGCACAGATTAATATCATATACGCATGCATGCCCCCCAAGTGTGAGCCATAAAGACTAAAAATGAATTAGATACAGAAACAGAAAAAAAAAAAAAGAAAAAAAAGAATAGAAAACATAAGAACAGACGTTAAAAGAAAACTCCAACAGGGTTTAATTTCCTGCTAGAAAGAAATTAAATCCGGTTGTTTCATACACGTGACTGTGTTCGTGTATATATATATATATATTGTACGCGCTGACTCTTCTCTCACATGCTTCAGACCAAATATATTGTTTTCAAATTTGTTGATTTCCTCCTTCTTTACTAAACCTCTTTATTTCCCTCTTCTATTTTTTTTTGTCATTTTGTTTTATTTTTTTGTTTTTGTTTTTCTTTAATTTCCTCTTTGGGTATTTGCCCAAATGATCCACTGAGAAAGCCACGGGTGGCTCTGTGTGCATGCTGCCTGGCCGCTCCCTTGCCGTGACTTTGACACCAAAATAATGCCCCCCCCCCGCCCGCTGTTTTTTTAAAGCACAGACGCGGACCGCTGACAAAAAGGGATAATAATAAAACAAAAAAACGAGGATTTCAACAGACACACAAACACACCTCCTCCGGGAAATACGCAGTTTTGCTTCACTGACAAGACCCCTTCCCAAATTCCTTTTCTTTGCGTGCTTCCATTTTGCTTTTTTTATTATTATTCTTTATTTTTTCTTTTCTTTTCTACCCGATTATTCTCTCATTTCCCCTCTCGTTTGGTTTCTCCAGTCCTCGTGTCACCTGCGCCTCTTCTTCGTAAGCAGCGAGGCTAAGTCCTGCTCCACCTTCGCACGACGGTGGATCTCGTCCAGCTGCTCCCGAAAGACCTCAATGAACTCCGCATCCAGCCTCTGTCGCTCAATGAAGGGATTTCTGTGAACGTTCTCAATGATGGACGTGAGCATCTCCATCCCGCCCGGTGTTTGCCCCTCGCTGGCAACAAAAAGCATCATGAGGTACGCATTGAGGGCCGCCTTGGTGAACAGAAGATAATCCGTTTTGGCACCGAGCAGAGCCCGAGTGGCGGCGTACAGAACAAGAAGCTTCTTGTGCGGATCATCGTTAAAATAGTCATGTATGCGCTTCGCCAATATACCAAAGACATGAGAGGAATTGAGGGGTGTGTAGAGAAAAATGGTGTCATCGAGCCGCTTCATGCTCTGCTCATCCACGCAGCCATCAACGAGGTCACAAATGGCTTGAATAACACTGGGGCTCACCGACTTGTCCGCCTCACCGCAGTTGTTATACGTGGCGCCAAGAAGTGATTGAAGGCGGGCGTCAAGCGTCATCTCTGGTGTGGGACGTTCCCGCGTGAAAAAGGTCGGCGGTGGCGGGGCTGCCTGCGAGCCCACCATGACGCCCATGGTGGGTAGCGACACCATCGCTCCGGCGTCAGCTGCGGGAGCCCCCGGGCCTGCCACAAGTGCCCCCATCACACCGCCAAGCCCAAGAGCCGGTGGCGGCATCGCAGTGAAATCGCCATTCGCATCATCATTACCGAGCGGAGCCGGCTTCCCTCGCCGCATCCTATCCGCCATCGTCATGGTGTGGTTGCTCTTCCCAAAACTAATGCGCAACGTGGCGCCCCTCAGAAGTGCATTGTTAAGTGCTATGCGGGCCGCGCGTGCATGCTCGATGCTATCAAAGTGCCCAAAGGCAATACCGCTAGATTGGATAAACTTAGAATTAATGAACCCTTCAAAAGGCTCAAATAAATCCTCGACATCCCCCTCCGTCACATCGGAAGCTAACTGTCCAAGGTATACCACATTGGTGGGAG